TCCAGGTATTTACTGAAGTTGTAACACTTTTTTAAACAATTTAGCTGTCTGCCTCCACAGGTGTGTGTGTAATATCAACTTCATAACGTTCATACAGTAATAAGATTTGGAGAAATACAAACTCTTCCCTTCTCTACATACCACTGCCTTTACTAATTAATATAGGAAAAAGTAAACTGAACCTTAAGGTCTCTGATTGTGAGGAAAGCTTATAACTGTATCCAGCTGCTCAGGCCTTGTCTGACCAGAATACATAACAAGATAAATTAACAGAGAAATTTGGAAACAATGAATAGTTTTGTCTCTGCTATATATGAGCTTATAAATACTTCTCTAGCACAATGAACAGGATTTCAGAAGCCAGACTTCTGCATAAAAGTAATTCAATTGAAAAGGGAAGTCCCTTACTAGACCCCCTTTTTTAAATTGTAGTGCCTGGACGACAAAAGAGTGCATAAATGAGTTGTCTGTCTATGTCTGTGTGCAAATATATATATATATATGTTTGAAAGGAATATTCCTGCAAGCTCCTGGCCCTGGAAGCAAGTCACAAAGTAGCAGGAGCAACACTGCAAATGCTGCTATCCTATTATTCAGATTCACAAGGAGGAACATTCAGAGTTAAGTACAATATGCGGTAGAAAACTACATAACCACCACCACCAAAAAAAAAAAAGAAAAAAAGAGCATGTCTTACAAATTTTTGAAATTCCTAAAGTTTCTGCAGAACCTTAAGCTTGTTTTATATATGATCCTGTCTTGACATCAGAAAGTTTTCTCGAGATTGGTTTACTACCTACAGAAGAAAGAAAAATCGTCGTGTTCCAGACAAGCATGCAGCTGCCTGCACTCTGGCCTTCCAGAGAGCTGCTTTGAAACAATAGCAACAGTGAAAGTACAGCATGAACTGGACCACTCTGTGTTTCATTAACCTCAAATGAGAGGGTTGTTTTTTTTATAAAACCTGTTTTGGAACCATTTAAATGATAACACTTGAAAGCCAGGCAGCCTTTAGACCAACACAGGGGGTCAGGGCTTTTTAAAAAGCAAAACCTTTGTAAATGAAGTTTTTCTTCTGCACCACCATTTCCCACCTGTAATGGAGCTTTCCACCTCCTCTTACTCTGACAGGGCTGTAAGGACCCAGCAAGCTGCCACCTACAGTCACATGCATGTCTGCCCTGAACAAACAGTGTTTGTATCCCCTGAGCACCTCTGTTGGAAATTAACTGGGATATATCACGCTTCTGGCATGGAACTACCAAATGGTCTGCTCTAGAAGGGACCTCAGACCTAAGACTTCACCTTCTAAAGAGATACACTTTTTGTCCCGCAATTTTAGTCTCCTGTGATTTAAGAAATCTATGCCCTTGACTCCCTGGACACAGCAAGAGAGGGGCAATTACCAAGCAATTTTCTTCATTCTTAGAGAAAGTCCTAAACAATGAAAGTTCAAGATCCCAACCGGCATAACTGGGAACACTTTATGCCTTATTAAGAACGGAAAAGACTAACAACAATTCTGTAAAATGAAAAAAAAAAGGCAGCAGTAGCCAAGAACTTATTGCTGGATATATCCAGTTTGTATCATGTGACCAGACTTACATAAAACTGTGATTTGTCTTCTTTGCCTGCCAAATCCTATCACAGGTATCCTCAGGGTGTTCCTCTCTCCACATCCACAGGTTGAATTAGCTTCTGGTACCGTGAGGTTTGCTTGGATGAGAAGGATCCGTGGGGAGGAGTCGGCTGCTAAAACTCAGCTTGAGATAGAAGGGTTACAGAAACAGCCCACTGTTCACTTTAGATGAAAGGACTGAAAAAGAAAGTAAACTGAAACTGCCAGTAATATTTATCCAAAACTGTAATGCTCATGTGTTCAGAAGCTACCCATGTTAACATAATATGTTTGTTACACAAACACAAAGCCACCTTCCAAATCAGTCATGCCCTCAGCCAAATTATCATGTGTGGATGGAGCTGGAGATTTGGTCAGCACGCCTCCCTTATGCCCACTAATTAAAATCAGCTTGCCAGGTAACATATTTTCTCCCCTAAATGAGTGATTTGCTGTTAAAAAAAAAAAAAAATTATAATCATAGCTTGAACAGAATGCATAATCAGAAATGTTTAATTGTGCACAAGAAAAGGTTTCAATTCTTAAAATTTGGAAGCAGCAGGGAGACAATGAAGTTTACTCCAGACCCAGACCCTTTATTCCAGAGGTTTTTTAGGACACAGATAAGACTGTTAATAATGACTTGTAAAACAATGAGAGACTTGGCAATTAAGTAGCTGATGAAATTTAAACACAGGGAAAATAATGTAAATTAAAAAAACCCAAACCATAGCCTGCTCACAGATAGAGATGTGCTTTTTACAAAGCATTGCGATTTTCAGTAAGACACTGAAGATTTTTTATTATTTCTTTGAAAATAACTGCTTATGTCCTGATTATGGTCAAAAAATTAAACACCGATGGAATGTCAGGGATCATTACAAAAGACATGGGGTACAAAATGCTAGATACATACATATCAAAATACTAGATATGTGTGCACTGTTTGTTTGTGTAACATTGCCCTTAAAACACCTCCAAGATGGTTGCATGGTAACATTGCCTGAAAAAAATCAAGTGTTTTTCTCGGTGTTTGGCAGCATCTGCATCCAGGCTCCAACACCCAGTCTTCCACTTGATAGGTTTAAGGATCAAAATTCAACTCATGGCCACCCTTTATTGAGTTGAAATTTCAGAGAAAAAGACGTGGTTGATTGAACTGTGAAAGCCATCTGCTTGACTCTCAGGTACTCAGAAAGTAAACCCACCACCCACTTTTATTAATTTAAGATTGGACTTCATCAACTCAAATATTGATACGCTATTGCCTTATAAAAAATGTTACACCAGTTAATTCTCTTGCCATTACTCTCATTTGTGGCTCAATTGTGCTGCCACAATGCTGACATAGGTCTTGGTGCTTGAAATATCAGATCAGGACCAGCCCAAACTTTCAAGCACAGTGAATATCATCTGAGCACCTACTGTAAACCACAGCGAGAACCTCTGTTCAAATGAGGGTCACAGCAAGCGTCAGTCTGGGGTTCAGTCTTTAAATGTCCAGTGTCACTTACTTAAACAAAAAACATCAATAAGGCTGCTCATTTTTAAGCCCATGCTTAGATGTTTTGCTGAATCAAGGTCAGCATGCTCAGAACTGGAAAGAATCAAAAAAGCGTGGCTTTACATTTGAAGGAATAGCTCCAAGAGTATTTTTCTAACCTCCCCACCTAATCCTAGGAATGTCTGTTGTACTGGACGTGGCATACCATACAGGATTTATGATTATCACTTTGGAACCATTTGCACTCTCTGTTTCCTGGTTCTGCTCTGGGGCAGCAGTGTTCCCACCACAGGTTTATGCCCAGAAGCCTCTCTACTGAGCCATCACCCAGCCAGCCTTGTCTCCATCGACACACAGTGTGAGCAGCAGGCTATTGACTGCAAAGTGTCTGGTGAAGGTGGCCTATTTCACTGCTACATTCTCGAGCAGATGAACCGGAACAATTACAAACAAAGTTAATGTATCTATTGAAATGCTAAATTTAAAACTTGGAAACATTCCTATCTGCTTCCTTCCATTTCAAAATACAGCGAGTTAACTAGGTCTGACTCTCTGGCAGTGGTCCATTTAAATGGCACAGATTTGCCTACCTAACAAAGCCCTTTTGTTTCCTACAGCTGTGAAACTTTGGTGCTCTGCAACTTTTCATGTTTCCCGGGTTACCTTGGCACAAAGTGGTGACTAAATGCCTGCAACATATTTTTTAACTCTAGATTTGAAGGAATATAACCACAAGGAAGAATGATGACTTTCAGTAAGTGTCCCTTGGTAGCATTAACAATACTCAAAATCAGATTCAAATGTCCACAAAGCTTCTGGAAGATCTGTGGCTTAAGAGGGAACCACATTCACTGTTCTGCTCTGTTACAGGCTGCATCATGTTTGTTTTTCCTCCATTCCTCTTCCCCACGTTATATGTGCTCAGCTCTATCACCCAGTGCAAAGGGAGACAGGGGCTATGACATACCTTTTCAAAAGACTTTGTCGTAAGGACCTCTTATATTTGAAGAACCTTTAAATTCTGGAGCTGACTTCCTGCTGTGTGGGAAGAAATGGATCTTTTGTCACTGATTCCACAAGGACAGGAAGCAATTCCGAGCACATACACGTACGGTGTTAATAAGACACCTTAAAGTAAACAGATTCTAACTGAAGTAACGAACTACTGTGGCGAAATAGCCTTCCCATTTTTCTCTGGCTGCGAAACGTTCCTAGTGGATTAAGTGGGAGTAAGTCTGTGTCATACAGAATAAACAAGTGGGAAATTCATGCAGGTGCAGGAGCACTGCTCTGTGGTAAAGTTCCAGAAGCTCCCTCCGTGCCTTATGCAGTAAGGAATAATAACCAGGAGCTGCAATAAAAGAGCTTGAGGAGTTATTGCTTGGACACCTGCAGACAGACCTAAGGGCCCTCTGCACTGGGGCAAAATGTGAGGCAGTTCCAAATTAGATGCTAAACCAAAAAGGTGCACCTTGTGTATCTCATATCTGCCAGGTTTTCTATATGTTGGATTTTTTTTTTCCTGAGATGTTTAGGTTTTTTTCCTGAGATATTTAAGACATCCCAGGGCAGCAGCTCACTGTCAGTGAAACCCAAATGGATACTACATTCATTGTAGCATCACATCTGAGAGAAATAAAAATCTGACAAAGACCAGGAAGAGCACATGGATGCCTATGGTATCTGCTGTTTAAAGAATAATTTGAGAAGACATGAAAAGATTTAGGATTTAGCAGACAATGATAGGATGGGCAAAATACAAGCATCATTCTATTACGCTTAAGTGTGAGTTATTTCCCTCTAGAGGGAAGTAAAAAAATTCGGAGAACCTTTCCTTGTCCATTCACTATGCAAACCTTAAAACACCACAACACAGCATTTTTTAAAAATTTAAATTTTTTTTATTGTTTATTATTACCACAACAACCAGCTCATGCCATAAAACAGCTTCCCAATATACTGGCCACCTAACCTACACTATGCAGAATAACAAACAGTCCCCACCTGAAAGGACTAAAAGCAACATTAAATAAATTTATGGAAAACTCGGGCCCAAAGAAGCTACAAATCCTGCCTACAGTCAATGAGACATGTTCTGACAGAAGCCATTGGAGAATTCCAGGATGAAATCTGGCATCACTTGGAGTCAACTGCAGAATTCTCACTATCTTCAGTGAAACCAGGACTGTAAATATATGTTTCTGCTTCAAAGTCCTTTGTCCAGACAACTCAGGCCTGGCATTTCCAAAGTTTTCTTATTTCTACTCCTTGTTTTTTTACACCAAACACATTTTTCTGTGCCTTCTGTTTACAAACTGATACTTTAATAATATAATTAGGATACAACTATGTGTAATTCTATTAATCTCTGTCCAAGTGTTCGTTAGTTAAAGTAAAAAAATTTTCACTAGGATATATCCAATATTTACACTGCAATTGTTTTTCACAATGTGTCCTGCTTTGAAATGCTATTTCACTGCTTCTGGTTCTTTGTCCTGCATTTCTACTGGTTCATTTAATAAGACTGGCTTTTCAGATTTCTGTTTCTTCCTTAAAATAAGGAGAATTAGTGAACTTGGGATATAGGACACTCCACGTAACACTGCTGGCAGGCCAAGATAGAGCCACCTGAAATAAATAATGAGCTCCATTAATATATGCATTCATGAAAAAATAGCAAAATTATTCAGCATACATTGTACTGCAAAAACTACACAGCAGCTCTAAACCTTGTGCCCCTGTCCTTTTGGATCTCACAGAAGATGAGTCAATATGAGAACTGAGAATATGTCAAGTCAGCAAAATGGTTGTTTACGTTACCCAATTCCAGGTAAACAATTCAGCCAGTGAACTCAGCCACCTGGTACTTTTATAACTTTCTCCACAGAGAAAAGAGACAGCCCTGAAAGGGCAGTTCAGTCCACCTGAATAAAACTTCTAGGTATTCATAAGGTAGAAATATTCTTCCAAATCAACCCCAACACATTATTAAAAGGAATCAGTCCAAGGCCATTTTCTTCAAAATTCCCACAGCGCTCCTTGAAGGACTGCAAAAGCATGAAGTGATGAAGTGTAGTATTCTAGGCCAATTTCCAACTTGAGTAACTATATATTCTCTACAAAATTCTTCTTTATTTTAATTCAAGTACTATTTCAACCATTTTCTCAATGATAGGCAATGTAATTTTTCAAAGATATTGCATAGTTGGTCATTAAACATTTTTTCCCACAGAAGCTTACTGCTTTTAATTTTTTTATCAGAATTCAGTGTTTTTAAGGCCTGTTCTCATAAAAGGCTCTTAGTGAACATAATTATGGCACCAAAACATTCCTGTTCAAAGGCTGATTCAATGTCTGTATCAAAGGTTGCATTTGACAAATAAAGCCAATGCCAAAGAAAAGTGTTGTGTCACATCTCTAACACAGGAGCAGTTTGTCCACTAGGAAAAGATAAAGTGCATAAAATCATATCCCTATGCATGTTATAATACAGTAAGAAAGAGAACTTAAAATAAAGTAGGAAACATACCTGTAGGTGTCAATATCATATATCCTACATGCTCCTTCTCCACCACAAGTCATGGTACCCCACTTCAGGCAAGTGGTATCTATCAAAGCTCCAAAGTAAATGGGAGATGGAATTCCAGCTACAAAGAATATTAGCAACATTTCTGTGAATACACTACAGAACCTATGCTGTTTGTCATGTTCTGCATCTGTCCTGTCCTCTTGCAGCATGAACCACATTCTTATAGGAAGCATGAACCGTGCATATCTTGTGTTCCCTCTTCTTCCTTATCCTCCTACCCTCAGCCAAAGGTTTTCTTTCCTGCTGCCTGTTTACCAGGTGTACACATGCTAAAATATGAACTGTGATTTCTATTCAGAACTCAAGATTTCCTCTCATCAGTGAGAGGGAATGTTGTGTTCAATACAGATGTAACAAGAGTGAAGGAATGAAAAACTCCTTTCAGATAAGCAGCAAATGTAGTCAGCTGTCCTGGCTTCTGCTGGTATAGGGTTAATTTTCTTCCTGGTAGCTGGTACAGTGCTGAGTTTTGGATTTAATATGAGAATAGTGTTGATAACACACTGATGTTTTAGTTGTTGCTAAGTAGTGCTTATTCTAAATCAAGTTTTCAGTGGTTCATGCTCTGCTAGTCAGGAGCTGCACGAGAAGTTGGGAGGGAGCACTTCCAGGACAGCTGATCCGAGCTGGCCAAACCATTCCATACCCTAGAATATCGTGCTTAGTATATAAACTGGAGAGAATTGGTTGGGAAGGGTCAACTGCTGCTTGGAGATGAGATGGGCATCAGTAGCAGGTGGCAAGCAATTGTATTGTGCATCACTTTTCCTTCTTCTGCTTTATTCCTCTCATTATTATTATCATTATCATCATCATCATATATTTTACTTTATTTCTAGTATTAACTCTTCTTATCTCAACCTGTAAGGTCTACCTTCTTTTCCAACTCTCCTCTCTATCCTACTGCAGGGAGAGAGTGAAGTGGCTGCCTAGTACTTAGTTGCTGACTAAGTTAAACCACAACATCAGCCTATTGCCCAGTATAAAAAAAATGCCAACTGGAAGCTGTTCTAATTTGCCATGCTGCCTAGATCTGTAAAAAAATGCTAAATTCTTCCTGATCAGTGGCACTCCATTGAAGTAGCTCCTGTGCCATGCCCATAGCCCTGATGTGATCCTTCTCTAACTCTAGATTGGACCTAACTGTGCTTTTAAAGTGTGACAGATATTTTCTTACCAAATACTCTTGAAGCCAGTCCATGGATACCCACTCCAAACGACTTTTCTTCGGGCTTTAGAGACCTGTATGATAAATACATGGTACACTTTTTTTTTATTTTTTACACTTATTAGTAGAAGTAACATTAACTCTGGGGTTTTTTAATCAAACTCATCATCGGTTTAGGTCCAAACCATTCTAATTACAGTGATGGTTGAAAGGGTTCATTATCCTCATTAGATGGTGTTTATTGAAAAATTCCTGAACTAGGACTGCCAAATCACGAAAGGAAGAGCTATTGTCATAGTACCATCCCCTTGAACTGAGGCAAACACAGAGTGCAAGATAGTTGTGCCTTAATCAAAATCATCTTGATGTGACCGATTAACACATGGGTATCACACACCTCAATGGCTCAGTGCCCTGACTTGGTGGTCCTGCATTAATTCAGGATATAGCTGATAGCCAGAAGCAACATCAGATTATAAAACTGGCATGACACTAAACCTTAACGGCACAAAATGACATAAGAGTTTTCTGCTCTTCCTCCTTCCATGCATAAACTAACCAGCTTTTAATTCCTGGGAGTCTTTGACCTTAGAATAAAAAGCTGAGTAGATTTCATAAGATGAGGACATTTTACTGTACCTTATTAAGACCATGTATCCAGGCATGGCTGCCAAGGAAAAAATGAAGCTGCAGACTAATGACAGTATCAAAAAATAATGAAGCATCTTGTCACAGTTTTCATCTTCTTCACACTGGCCCAGAATTGCAGAGGCATTTTGAGATGAAAACCCTAACCCTGAGGCTGCAACACAGGTGCAGTTTTCAAATACCTGTCAAAAAGAGTATTTTAATCACACAGATTATCCAAACTCCTGCACAGAGTCTGAAAATCGCACCACTGGCACTGAGCTTGCTGTCTCCTGCACTTGCTACACCCGTGCAGCGCTGCACTGTGGCCTCTTTCCCATCCCAGCTGGCCAGGCACAGATCCAACCATTCCCTGCATGTGGAGTGTGGGGTTGGGGAGCTCTCATGCAGCTGAGACTGCTCCCTCGAGGAGACAGTGATCAAGAGAGCCTTCATGTTCCCCAGCACAGCCTGTCTGTGTGGTCCTTCCACTGCCAACAGACCTGACCCTCTTTCTCATAACCCAGAGTGTGGTTTTTCGTATGTCAGAAGAGAAGGAACCAGAGATTTGATTGAGGCTTGGTTGCATTATTCTTATCAAACACTTGCTTCTACTGAAATCATTACCAGAACAAGGACTCTCAAACATCAGCCAAGGTATTATCATCTAATACTTCTTATTTGTAAAGTACAGAGGCTTTCTAAAATCTCTATGATTCAGGTTTTTTTGAACTCATTATTTTTTATTGTTTTCAATCTAATTAGAACTTACGGGGGGGGGTTATGGAATATGTGTTATTAAATAAGATAATAAAAATTCTCTAATACCCGGTTACTTGTTTAAATCTACAGGGTAAAAGAGATTGTTAATAAGTCCATGCTATAGACTTTAATTTTGGCTGACATCTTCTTGTGCAGTCAGGTTTAAACCGGCAATACCTTCAGAATAATTTCTCACTCCATTTTAAGCATTTAAGATTCCCTCAGTTTCTTAGAAGAGAACATATTTTTTTTAAATTTAAACTTACACTGATTTTCATATTCAGTTTGTAATTTCTGGTGCTACTCAATGAATTTGTCCAAATCTTTCACTTTATATATTCAATAAATGCTCATGTATGGATATTTCTCTCCCTATACTGATACAGATATTTCTCCCCTACAGTATTTCATAGTTACAGTACAATAAAATGTATGCTTTACCACACTTCTTCCAGTTCCTCTTGAGGATTTACACCCAGCAAGGCAAGGTGACACATAAGTGATTCCATTGTTCCCACAAACGGGGTCCCATATTTTAAGTGGGCAATCACAATCCCTGTTGCAGCCAGCAAGTAAAGTATTTTCTGCATATGAAACTTGTTCTATTCTGAAACACATTTAGAAGATGGATAAATATTTCAGTAAAGAAATACCTACAGTAATGCTTTGCAATGCTTAAGTTTCTATTCTAGCTCAAGTGTTTCTTTAGGACACAGTTCTGCATGTTCCAATCTTGGAGTTATGCACTTCTACCTTTATATAGCATATTATATGATATCACATTAATATTATCATTGAGGTTTGCATACCCCACATCATCTTCCTCAGCTATGGCACATATGCTCTTGATTGCCTGTAAGTGTTGCATGTAAACCTACATGTCCATTTTACAGACACACAGTGCCTCCCAGTGATTAATGGTAAGATTCAAATCAAGAAACTGCACATAAAATATCCTCTGGTAACTTGATAACAATCAAATTCCAGTGTACCAGCATAAGATTAGGAAGGGGGTTTGTCCCTCTGCTATTCTGAAATTGCACTCACTTATGCTTAATTTGATTAACAATTTTTTTATTTTCACCTGCAGTAACATGACCTTATTAATTATATTAGTGAAAGAACTAATATGGATATGAAATTGCAGGAGTCTTTTTGTGGATATCATTTTTAGTACACTTTTTTAGCTTGAAACACTGATAACAGAAGGTAGACCTACTGTCTCATGCAAGTAGAAAGCCTTGAGAATTTAGGTCATGAAACTAAAATGCTGCAAAGCTATGGAGCCCCTGACTGATTCTTGACAAGAAAAATCATCCCAGTGTCTTAAGACTGAAGTCCTCTTGTGTCTTAAAGAACATACCCTTCATAGGAAACTGTTAGACCAGCAACTGGTGAAGTATCACAGACAGTCCAATAGGCACCAAAGTAGAGAAGGTAATCCAGTAAAGATACCCAAAATCCTATGTTCGCAGCCTGATAGATATTTATCTTGAATTTCTTCATGAATAAGCCTCCAGAAAAATACCCAACGCATAGAACTGGTAAGTTGTAAACACCTATTCAAACAAGTGAAACTTCCATGTTAAAATAAAGGAGACCATTGAAGCTTCTCTACTCTAAGGTAGCTACTGAAGTAGGTACTAAAGCTACTGAAAGGGAAGATTTTGCTTGGCAAAGACTCATGCAGCACCTGTGGCTGAATAATTTAACTGCTATCAGCAATGGCTCTCTACTAATTTTCTTGCACACCCAAAACCTCTGCCAAAGTCAAGAGCAGGTGAGAACTGCTTGAGAAGTCAGATAGAGGGTAGGACTGAAAAGATTAATTAGAAACTTGCAATCTAGAGTTGCAATCTAGGTGCACCTTAAAAAAAAAAAAAAAAAAAAGAAGAAGAAGAAGAAAATATATTGTTTCAATCCAGCCTCCCCAGACAGAGAAACCCAACAGGAAGATAAACTACTGGAGTACATCTCAATACACGCTGAGCATCGCAGGAACAGACTTTCAGTTTTGATATGAGAGTACTGAATATCCTCTCACATTTTTTTGCTGATTGATGTTTTAACGAAGCAAATTCTGACTGAAAGAGATTTTTGAAGTGGTTTTACACAAACACCAATCACGTGGCTTGGTTTCATATCAGCTGACCTTTCTGGACCAATTCAAAAGATGGGAAGTAGATTATTAAATTCTGCACAGAAAATTAGGATAAGCTTAGCAGAAAATGCAGGAATATTTAGAAATGCTTTGTAGTGCTGTATGTCTCACTTGTAGAATCATTTAACCCTAGTATGTATGTGTATACAAGTAGATATGAACATATATGTACATATATAGATAATCTGCATAGAGACATCACTACTTGGTAGAACAGAGCAAAGCAAAATGCAAACATACCAATTAAAAAGATGGCATCTGATGCAGATTTTCCAAACTGCTGTTCCAGATATTTGGGCATGAAGGATATCATGCCATCGAAGGCACTGAACTGTAACACGGTTATGCATATAAATAACATATACACTGGGTTGCGAAACAGGGCCTTGAGAAAGGGGATGAAATCTGGAATGAAACGATGGAGTGAGTTAGTGTGATGCTTTATGAAAAGGGTGACCATTGCTCAGTGTGGCTGAGCGGGGAGGAGGGGAACAGAAAAGGTCCTCGACTGTATCAGGCTGAATCTTGTGCTTTGCCAGACACCACAGACCAAAGGAAACTGGATTAGCCCAGGCTACCCTAACATGCCTCCTCTACCCAAAGACAACCTCACACACACACCACCACCCCCAGTGCATGCTGCTGCTCATAAAAAAATAATAAATCACAGCAACAACCTCCTCAGAAAAGTTTCCTGAAAGTTTTTAGCAGTGCAGTGACTGAGCTTTGCAGCTACAGATCTGCAGCAGCAGCCCCTCTCCCATCTTTCCTACTCCTTTTTTCTCATCTCATGCCCCCAGAGTGTTCACCAAAACCCCTTTCCTGCACCTGGACTACAAGGGACTACAAGGAGAAAGGGGTGCAAACACACTAGAGAGCTGTGACAACCTGCCCCCAAATTGATCTTGGATTTTGCTGGGATAGAAGAGGCTTGAAGAGAGATGTGACCAAAATTACTCCCACCATACTCTCAAAGTCTGTATCAGTCAGTCTTCAGCCAAGTAAGCATCTGAGAAACTAATTTACAACAGTTCCTTTCTCTGTGTAATGCCTATTAAATCAGGATCTGAACCATAAAAAAAACCCCCACAATTCCCCTTTGTCTAATGTTCCTTGTTAATTAATGTGCTGAGCTATTGTAAAGAAACTCTGCAGAAAAGCATAAGCATCTGTAAAACAATGACTGTGCTTCACTGAAAGTGGGCACCACTTAGCATGAGTGTGTATCTTTCAGAGGCAGGCAAGTATCTTACTAGAAGAGGATCTATATGCAAGTCTTGCAAAAATGAGTCAAATATTCGAAATGCTATAAAATAGGCTGCATTATTTACATATGCAATGCAGTTTGTAATCGCAGTTTTCTGAGGAAATTTACTTTTTATTCAATTAATTTTATTTCAGATTAATTTTAACTACAAAAACTTCAAATTTCAACTTGAAATCCTCAGCAATTAAAAAGCTGTCTGAATATATCCTGGTCAACAGTCCGTGAGTGGCCCTGCTGGGACAAGGGGTTGAACCAGGTGACCTCCAGAAGTCCCTTCCAGATATTCTGTGAAATTAGAAGATTCTAACTTCAGGATATTCAGAGACAGCAGACACATCAACATAGGGAGGGAATGATCATGAAAACACAAGCTCTGAAGGGACTCTTGAGCACTAGGACCCACATCTGGTCTAGGAACCTTTCTTCACCAGAACAGTATTTTATTTATGGATTCATTTAAGGTTACATGACCAGAAGAGAGAGAGATGCTGTGTTTATCAAAATGAAGTTGCAATATCAGCCAAGATCTGAGTGCTCAGTCTGGGTATGAATTTGCAGGACTGAGCTTGAAACACCACAGACAGGCAGCTGCCACATGGCACTTACTTTCTGAAAATTAAGGTCCTGTCAAGAGACCCTGAGCTGTGCATACAGAATCAGGAAACTTCTTGTTATTCACTTACATTTCCATCTACTACAAATAATGGAAATAAATAAAAAAAGCTTCCTACAGATACATGGATGTGAAAGACCACAGATGTGAAAGTTACCAGTGATAACACGAATGACTGTAAGTCAAACAGATTTTTGTTCAAAGGCAATTAAATGTTCATGAGACACTTCAGCACCTGACAATTCCATTTTATGGTTTCAGGGTGGGCTCAAGATATGCACAAGACTTGTGCTGGGTTTCTGCTTTTCTGTACAGTGAATGTGGGGTACAAGCAACTAATATCTGCAACTTGTCAACAGCTCACTGAGATGAAACATTCTTAACCAGATTTCAGTGCTTTAACCCTCTCACAGGAAGAAAAGATCTACGTACACCTGAAATGCAGGAGGGGGAAAGGAATGAATCCAGACCCTGGAGCTATGAAATCAGCTTTCTTGCTGTGCAAGGAGCCACCCTAAGTCCCTGCACAAAGCCTTTGTACTACAGAGACATGAAAAACAGGGGAGGCATCACAGTTCACATCTTAAGGACTAAATTAAGAAGGAAATAAAATATGATATAACTTGCCTTTAGCAATTTCGTACATGTTCTGTTTGGTTTCATTTTTATCATTGTCTTGCAATGGTACTACACTTTTGTCAGTTGTCTCCTCAGATTCGTTGGTTTCACCTTCCTTCACAAGTGACTTGGGCAAAAACCAAAATGGTATTCCCACGAGAAGGTTCAGTAATGCACAAATCAAAATGCCCAGCCACCACGCTCCAACCCAGCGGGCATCAGTAGCTGTTATAGTTATCTCCTCTATAACAAAAACCAAAACCATCCATATTACATCAGTTCAGAAACATTCTTTGCTGTCATCGTGTGTTTTCCTAGTCTTCTTTGACATGGGATATATGAAAAGTATTTTAATGATTCTTAAAGTGAGGCTCATGGAGGAGAATAGTCCCCAGCCTGGCAAATTTCAGTGGTTTGTATTAAATTAATTCTAGACTTTTTCTGTGTTAAGCCAGATGACACAATTGTTCATCAAATAATTTATAAGCAGATTGATCTGTGTGTGAATTGAGTATTATTACATAGATCTTCCATCCTACAAGAAACACCAACAAACTGAGATAAAATTTATACATATTAGCAAAGAAAGATTTTTTAGCTCTGATAAATACACCAACATGACCATAGATTTATATATGAGATTTTATACATTCACCCATTACCTGGACCTACTGATCCAACATCAACAAACAGTTCTGCACAGAATGATGCCAACAATAAACCAAGGAAGGGGCCAACTACAGTTGCTGTATGTAAACATGCTAGAGTAAGAAAAAGAGAAAACATACCAAATTAGAACCCAGACCTAATTATTTTCTTGGAATTGTTACACACCTCTAGGACAGCAGTACTGGAAAGGCATTTGTGCCTAAAAATGGCCCCACTTCAAGAAGTTAATCTCTAGTTAAAGTCTACAATATTCTAGTTAAAGTTCCACAATAATATTTTGATCAGGCAATAAAAACTGTCTTTTCTCTTCCTTTGTTGGACTGAAAGGAGTCATAACAATCCTTTCTTTTGCTTTTCTTTATGCGTGTGTTTGTTTGGGGGAGGGGAGTTACCACGATAGGGCAAATTTACCCAGGTAGAAAGGTGAATTCTCTGCTTTGGCAAAATCCTCCAAATAGGAAATGCCCAAAGGCATGATGGGAGTTTCACCTATTCCTCGCACTATGTTTCCAACCATCACAAATATCCACAGCAAGGACCCAGGCTCTTTTTCACATTCTGTAAATAAAATAAGAAGTCAGAATTAATGTTTTAATTCTAACTATTAATCAAAATCTAGAGAAAAGAGATTGACTAACAGCTTAAACTTTGGTGGGTTGGCCTGTCCTATAAAAAACATGAAATACCTGGTCACAATACTTAAAAGGCTCTGGAACTGCAGAAAGCTGATGAACTTGCTGAAGCAGAGTTGAAATCCCTTCCCTCTCCATGCCATACCTTGTCCAACCTCCTGGCAGTCATAGAATCATAGAAGGGTTTGGTTTGGAAGGGACCCTAAAGACCATCTAGTTCCAAACCCCCTCTCATAGGCAGGGACAACTCGCACTAGAACAGCTTGCTTGAGGTCCCATCCAATCTGGATGAACTTCTCTGGGCAGCCTGTTCCAATGCCTCATCACCCTCACAGTGAAGAATTTCTTCCTTATATGTGATGTAAACCTGCCCTCTTTCAGTTTAAAGCCATTCCCCCTTGTTCCATCAGTACCTGCCATGGTAAGAAAGTCCCTCTCCAGCTTTCTCATGGGCCCCCTCTAGGTACTGGCAGGATTCTGTAATGTCTCCCTGGAGCCTTCTCTTCTCCTGATTGAACTCCAGCACTCTCAGCCTGTCTTCACAGCAGAGGTGCTCCAGCCCTCTGAGCATCTTCATGACCACCTCTGGACTTGCTCCAGCAATTCCATGTCCTTCTCATGTTGGGGGCCCCAGAGATGGACACAGCACTCCGGGTGAGGGTCTCATGAGGGTGGGATAAAGGGGAGAGAATCATCTCCCTTGACCTGCTGGTCACACTTCTTTTGATGTAGCCCAGGATACATCTTCATAAATAATCTGAATTATGGGATTGAAAGCACTCTCACCAAGTCTGCCTCGAAAGATTCTACTGTTCTCTCCCGCTTTGTGATACTTCAATTTCTCAGTGCCAATTCATTAACAAATAAAAATGAGCTTTGTCAGCAGCAAATGATGACTTCATAAGTGAAAGTATTACTGACCAGAGATTAAGCCTGGATCTCCTGTATCAGTGTCAGGTTGCTGTCAGAAAACATGGGTGAAGCAACTCACATGCAGATGCGGTCAAATTCAATCCACTTTTTGCTTCACACAGGAGATGGACTCAGATGTATGAACATCACAGTCTTGCTCATCCATAAACCAATAGGGAAACAATCACCTTACCCGAGGATACTCAGTATACTCAGAAGATTAATCCCATGTCCATTGTGAGAATTGTGTGGAGTCAGGAAATTAATCCCACCTTCACTGTAAGAATTTTGTGTGTGATCATTCAATAGTTGCCTCTGACCCGTTAGACTTCACAGTAGTTTGCTTCATATGCACATTTCTAGTGCACAAACACTAGAATCAGTGTTGTGTTCAGGCCCACAATTAAGTTTTAGCCTAGTTTAAAAAATTTTCTCTTTTCTCTAAAAGGAAGCAAGATCTGTGTTTAGTTTTACCTCTATTTCTCATTCTTTTATCTCCAGTGTGGTACAAGAAAAGAGAATCCTGATACCTTTTACATATCGTCCAAATATGTTTCCCACCTCCTCACAACATAGTATTTCAAGTAAAAAAGAGGAATATTTGTGAAAATAACGTGATGTTATAGACTCCCAGAGTGACTTCCAGGTATGCTAACTGAGCTGTTTGGATACTGTGAAAACTGCTTGAAAAAAATGTTACAGCTCGGGAGTCACACAAAAAAGAAACAAAAAATTCAGGAAATTTCCCAGCCTTTAGTTTTTTATGCCTGCAAAAAGTACTGACCGAAAGCAGGACCCTGAAGTAATTGCTAATAAAATTAAAAAGCTATTTACTTCGACACTATAAAAACTGAGGGACATGTATTAGCAGACATAAGAAGAGCCATACCTGTTGATGGCTCCTCTGTAGGCAAAGAGAACAAGCTGTGGTTAACAAGGCATAGAGGCATCACTGAAATATTTTCCCGTTGTGAAATGCTGCTTTCAATATGGTACCTGTTTGAATCAAAGGAAAGCACGTACAGGTTAAGAAGATACACACGAGAACCACCTCATATGTCTGTGATTTAGTAATGGAGCTAGCTATGAGAAGACTGGGTAGCTACAAGGAAGGAGGAAAGCCATGCCAAAAGTTAACTGAGACTCAGTAACAAAACAGGCCAGGAACAAAGGAAATGTAGCAGTGTTTTACCCAGACTCTTATCTAGTTTCTAATATAATCTTGTAACAGATGCTTCAGGAAGAGTTATGAACCACACTAATGGAATCCCCCTCATCATCTTCTCTCCTACTTTTCTTATATTTTAATCCAATTTACACCCTAAGCAGAGTGTACCACATTGGACATATCAAGATCAGAGGATCTTCCTTTCTGAAAGAAATATCTCACTGATTAAAATAGACAAGCCTACATTATTATTTTGTTAAGCCAATTAAACACCATGAAAAAGGAGTTGAAGAATCATTACAGTTTGTAAAGGCTTTGACAACTCGGCAATCAGGTATGATCCAGGCTCCAGACCAAAGATATCTCTAAAAATCATCTTGTATTGCCCATCAAAGTACATAAGAACTGGTAATACAATTGATATCACAGCCCACTGTTTCTTTAGAGAATCCACACAAGGTGCAGCACAAGGATGAAGGCAAGGGAAAGGGAAGGTGCCCAGCACAGGGGTGACTCTCTCAGGAAGTGATGGCTGACTTTTGAAGCCATCTCAGAAGCAAAACAAACCAAGTTGCTCTACAATTATGACATAGAAATCATGCTCAGCAATGTCTCTCTGAGTAAAAAAACACTGTCTCAGTGAAAGGACTCATGGATTAACACAAGTAAGGATCAGAGAAGCTGCTGTGAGCTAAGCAAAATACTCACCTTCCAAACAGGAAATGAGGAAGTGATATCAAAAGACATCCAAATGACAGAACTGTGCAGCCCAAAGCAATTATTTTGGGTCTGTGAAGCTTTGCTCCAAAGTAACTCACGAATGCTATCAGCAGCAAGTTACCTGCAAAAAGAACCTGGTTCACATTTACACACCAAGGCACCCCCAGATCTTTTAAGGTGCAACACAAATTTAAGTATACCTTGTAAGCTCAACATCTGTTTCTTTTCTTGTCTTGTAAAAGCTGTAACTAGACAGGGAACTGCCTACATAATGCAGTAATTCCCTGCTATGTGTGATCTTTTTTTGGAGAACTTACATCACATGAAAAGAACATGAGAATAGAAGGTAGAATGGAAAAGAGATGACAGTGAGAGAGATTTTTGACTGCACCTACACATAAAAGAAATTTCCCACTACTTTACATAGAGAACAGGCCCAAGTGCTGCAGAATAACAGCTGATTTAGGAAGTTATTCTCCCCAAGATACTCTATTTTGTATTGTATCTCCAAGTACTTCTGTACTGAAAATAATAAACTCATGATGACAGTCATAGAAAAAAAAGGAATAATAAATTAATATCAACTTCACTAACTGGGAATTTTTTTAAAACCAGTATTTTTGTACCCAGTAGCATTAAAAATACAAATGTGCTAAAAATCTTTGTTCTCTTCTCCTCTACTTTCACTTCAGAATCAGTTGATCTTCTCTTTCTTCATTTATTGCTATGCAACTAAGAAAAGAGTCAAGTTTCATATTATGAATCAGACTCCATAAAAATAGCAATTTAGTAATTGTACACCTACTAATTTAGCGATCTTTTTGTCAAAAGAACAAAATCATGTCTCTGAGTGATGAGCATCATTCTGGGAAAGAAGATAATAACTTTTTTATGTATGATTGCTAAACAGACTGTATTTAACCAGTTCCTTGAATGAGACTTCAAGATGTACATTTACACAGTCCTAATAAGTCATTTATGTCTCTTAATAATTTCAAATATTATTATGATCATTCAACAAGTTTATAGAAGTGGATAATTTATTTAAAATAAGCCTTTTATATACCAGTTTTTTAATCTTGGCCATTTCACATTTCTTACAGTCTCATCCTCATCAAATGCAAAAATACATTCTGAGTACTCCCTCTCTATCATAATTTTGAGCTGCCCTGTCAGACTGCTTTGCAGGCTGCAGCACAGTGTTGACAGCACTTATTTCCCCTTGCACATGCAGATATAGGAGACAAGGAAAAGGGAGAGATGGAGCCTTGCTTCCCCTCCCATTGTGCACATGAGCCTGTGCAGATCATTTCTTCAGCTGAGCCAAGGATATTAAAGACCCACACTGTGGCTTTCAGGGTATAAAACACCTCCTCTAAGGATCTCTATTTAGAGAGGTTTGAAGCTATCAAAAGAACTGTAAAATGCTAACTATGACCTTAAATTCAAACAAAGCTTATAAAATCTTTTTGTTTTGTTCAGAAAGATTCAACACAAAGCTCATAAAGTAGATGAACTACTTTTAAATCTTAAACTTCTTCATTTAAGTTGTCCTATTAGTTTCCAAGACAATAACTGGTTAAGTATTAGCTGAAAAGGAAGGACAGAGTTGACCACTGTTGACATGTACAGCAACTGGGACATTTGCTAAAAATATGAATTTTCAAACAAACTATATTTTCAAATAATAAGAAATATTAAAATGAGAGATTACCAATTTCAAAGCTTCCATTAATGATCCCCACCAAAGAAGCTGGGATATTAAACTGTTTCTCTATCTGTGTGTACATGCTGTTCATGTAAGCACCAGACATCGTTTTACCAAGAAACGCAAGCGACAGTGCCAGTAGAAATACCTGGGAAGGAAAGAAGGGAATGCATAGAGAACTCAAAATTATGCATTTATGAATATTCCATTTTTAGCACCAAAAATGTGCTTCCAGACAAAAGAAGCGTTCCACTGTGTGTAAATCCCATCATCTATCCTGCATCCGTATCATACATCCTTGTTCTTCGCCTGCTCCCATTGCCCGAGACTGTCTTTAGAAACCTCAAGCCCCATTTCTCCGGCCAAGACAGGCTGTGCCTGCTGCAAGATTGCCACCTGCAGGACTGCAAGCCCAGGGTGCGCAGACCTTCCCATCCTCTGCTCGTCTGAATGACAAATTACTTGCAGAGCAAAGATTGTTTCCTTTGGCCGAATTACTCGACCCAGTATCTGCTCTCCCATCTCACCACAGGTCACGAGCCCAGAACAAGTGATTTTAAACAGAAGGAGTAAACAGTGTCTTTTTGTTTAAAGAAATTGTCTTTTTATAAGACAATTAGTACAAATTGTCAGTAAAGAAAAATGAATATGAATACATGCACTGGTATCAAAATCCTTTTAACTTTAGGGTTCTTAATAAACAGTATTTACAAAATTAAATCTATAGTATCTTTAAATACATCCGCTGCAAATGCTAAAAAGCGTAAGTAATGTTTTTGGGCTTTGAATTACTATGAAAAACGAACTATTTTACAAGCTTTTATAGCATTTCTTGACAACTTGAATAGTCTAAGGTACATCAACAGGCAACTTTTACTGACCTGTCACAACCAGTAAGGCTCATTTAACAGGTTTAAGAAGGAATGGTAAACATGTCAGACTGGGGGGATTACACAAAGTCAGAGGTGGGGCTTCAAAGCAGCGGTCAACCATACCTCCAACAGAGCACAGAGTGTAAAGTTCGGGGACAGCAAAAGCAACACATGGTTGTTTACAGACTTGTTTGACCTTGATTAGGGCAATAAGGGTAGAAAAGAAACAGTTTATTTATTCATTTAGACCATGTTGTAACTTCTACGAAACCACTGCAAATGCAAGCAATTACAGGTGTGTGTTCCTACAAAATCACTAAAATATTTCTGTACCTTCAGCTTGGAAATGCAACAGAATTTGTCCTCTGCACGTGGCTTCTCAGCTTCTTTCATGTTGCCTTTTTTAATTTTTCCCGAGGTCTGTTTCTGAGTCTGTCCAATGATCCCATTACAGTGTTGAAAAAGATGAGAGAAAAGAAGAAAAAAATTATGTCTCATGTTTGCAAAGAAATAAGATTCCTTCCAAGAGATTTGTTGTTTGAGCATCTTCCTTGAATAATTGCAAACTGGATGCCAGTAAAACCAACAAGCCTATACATTTTATTCAGAAGAAAATAATTTGATATGGGAATGTCAACAACGTACAGCCAGTTATGTCTCATCAGACACTGAAAGCTGTTAGCAGCACACAACCAGAGAGCAAAGAACAGAGAAAAGAGATGTTCTGAGGGCAAGCCTAAACACAGCCTTTCAGTCCTCTGCACAAGCATTTGGCACTGACCACTGTGGCAGACAGAACTACAAAGACCTATAGGTTTGACTGATGTATACCTGTCTGCATGGTCTTTATATACTACCCCTGTCCTTGCTAGACATAAAAAAAGACATTTAGTTCTACTCTGCATGTTCTTTTGAACCCTCTCTTCTTCCACTGGCATCACTGTATATTTGTTAATTTTTAATAGCAACTCTATTGGAGATTAATCTCTTAGCATTAGAATTAGAAGGAAACAAAATAAAACCAAAACCACCGGACCAACTTAAGTTCTAAATGGAAACAAAACAGACTCCATTCTGCTTCCCCTCCCAAGACTTGCAAAAATATTCCTCTTTGGTTTTCTGCCTCCTTTTAGTGATGTCCATCCCGATTTGATGATTAAAGCTTCTGGTAGTGCTAAGCCACCTGCTTTCTTACACATCTTACATATATTCCAAAATTGTGTTCAAAGAGCAATATATTCCAGGGACTTGGATATACTTACCTGTAAAAGCACAGTTAAGCATAATTAAGTCTGGGTTTTAATTTAGTATGGGGTTTTTTTCTGAGGGTTAGCACAATGAGTTAAACAGATTTCATTCTTGGGACTCCTACAAAGACTTCATTAAATCTAGTTATTCAATACAGTTCCCTGCTGCCTGATGGGGTAAGCTGAACAAAACCAGGGCAAGTCAGAGCCCTACCTTATAGTCAGGATGGATACAGGTTAATTTCCTCTTTTTTTGTCTTGGACACACTTTCCAAGTGTGATCTTGCAGCACCTGCTCTTCGCTGTGTTTTCCACTTCACGGAGCCATGGCTGGGAAGCAAACTTGACAACCCCACCAAGAGGACTGAATTGCCTTTCACATTCTTCAACCCAACACCCTCCCGGTCAATCTCTTCAAACATTAATTTCTACAACAATGTTAATCCTCTCAAATGTGTTTCCTAACTAAGTTGATTCCTAGCAAATTCAGGGGCATTAACTCCTTCTATAGCTACCTTCTCATTTTCAGTCTCTAAAAGTGTAATGCATCATTACAGCATTCCTGGAAATGCTTCACAATTAATTGTTGGTGGTCAGCATCTCAGACAATTATCTATGAGATATATATATAGTTTGCATTTCTGCTTTCCTTACAGATGCTTACACAAACTGTGTTCAATCACAGGACTAAACTGTGCTTGTACAGCTTTGCACTTTCCTTGCAATTTGGTTTATAAAAGTTTATGTCCCAGGGAAACATTTATGCATTATCTAAATACTGCCTTACTCAGAGTGGAGCCCACCAGTGATGCCAAAACATCATAGCAGTCCCCCATGTCTGTCCTCTTCTGCTCCTAAGAGCTTGAAACAGGATTCTTCCCCTTACCATACCAGTCCCTGCTTTTCTCTATCATACACAGGGAACATCATCTGGCTAACTGTAGGTTTTCTCTTCTGGTGGTACAAGATACAAGTCAGCAACCTCTGCCCAAGTTTGTCTTGGTGAATCAGAAACTGCTCCTCATACAATTACAGAGGGCAAAAAAAAGCCACATTTGCCTTTACTTATTCATACCTTCCCTCGAAGCATGAATTATGGTATTTAAAAAAAGTGCATCTCAATCCATTTTTTACTGGGATAATTATGAAGATCACAAATTGAATAACAAAATAGACAGAATCACTATTTCCAGCTTTGCTCCTGAGATGGTTTTTGCCAGCTTTATAATATTTTTTTAGTCACACTTGATCAAATGGAACTGAAACCAACACAGACTAACAGCCTAGATTATCAGAGAGAATGTAAATGCATAACTCAGCTCAGGTGCATTTACACCACACTTTATATCCAGGTAAGAACTTAAACTACCATTTCTGTGCTCCCACTCCCTTCTGCCATCTACATGCCCTCCATTGTACATTCCTGTTGCTTACCTTGCTCACACTCTTGGGCTCTTCAGACTCATCTGCAAACCTCTTTAACTCATTAAACAGGTAGAAAGTTAATGCAGCAAAATGATGGCTTTCCAGAAAGTGAGCTGATTTGACCCACAGAACAATTCAACAGGTGACAGACTCACATAAACAAATGAGCAGAAAAGTGGAGCCAAGAACATGAGAGGAGAGGACAAAGTGAGGGTGAAAGCAGAGTAGAAAAGGACAGAGAGCAAAACCTGCCCATTTGAGCACCAGTGATGTGTTATGTCACCTCAAATGTTTGTGGTCTCAAGCCCTAACCTAAACTGCCCAGGCCAGCCCTGAACACAGCTGGACTCCCAGGATCAGCAGAGCTGTAAGGAAACTATCTCCTTCAGTGCACATCCATCAGTATCTTTTTAGCCAGCTGCAAGAGGAGAGACAGCTTAGGATAGTCACAGAGTGACTAAGTTTTGTAACAAATCACTTGAGTTATATGCACAGGCCAGGTAAAACTGTATAGTTATGCAAAAGTTTGCCCCCAGGTTCTGACTGACCTACCAGCTATCATGTAAACACCTACTCTTGAATCCCACTCACAAGCCTTCAAAGTTCACTGAAACTTCAGAGGTCAGTAAAATTCCTCCTTCTGCTTCTGCACTGAGTTGGTGACATATTTATGGCAGGCTAAGAAATCAGCAGTGACACCACAACTGCCTCTTCCAGCCATCTCCACTGCTGGACTAAATCTCCAAAGGCAACCAGAAAGGCAGACAGGTGCTCAGAAGACTTGTGTCTAAAAGACACTCACTTTGCTAAGTTTGCTCCCATTTGTCCCCTGCAAACCCATAAAAACCTTTTATAGGTTTAAGCCACGTTTCACTTTAGCTAACTAATAAAAAGGACAAAACCACACAAATATCTAGATTTCAACGTTTAAGAAGCAGTGTTCTGCAAGTTGCTTTGTCTGAGTCCCAAGGGGACATCCTACTTTGAATGTAAAATTCATCTTCCATTTGGCTCAGCTTAGTCATATGGATAAACTGTTAAATCCTAGTTTTATTTACAAACAGGATTAAAAATCACATGAGGTAACCATGCAGAGAACAATTACAGTGGCTGAGTTTTTGCCTAATTGATTTTTCTCGTTGCAAAAAGCTTTTTGAAATCTTGTTTCACTAGGTACAGTTCAAACTGTTACTCAAATGCAATTACACTAATGTTAGACTGAGACAAAGGAAAATATTCTCATGGCAAAACAATTAGGTACTTACAGTTTTGAAAAGATTTCTGCAAGAAATGACTGATACCACACACTTGAACTTTGACTTTTAATCTACATTGTTGAAAATTAACCCAAGTCTACCTACTGCCAAATTTGTTTCTTTGCCAAATTGTTTCAACTGTGCATTTTAGAGTACTCACTCAGGTGTGACAGACATGGACTGAGCCCTTAGAAGGAAAATTGAGCCCATCTCTTTCCCTTCCCTGCCAAAACAAAAAAATGGCCAAGATCTGACAGCTGTGTCAGATCTCTGAGCATGAAATGCTGGCACTCCAGTCCACTGAAGATGTTCAAAAGCACTCACAAGCAAGAAAGGAATTGTAAGACTCCACGTAAGTGTGTAATTTACAGTTTGGATGGTGTCCTATCAAAGAGTGACACAAAGTCAAAAGGGAAGAGGGGAATGAGTTTGTGTTAGTGATTACTGGATGCTGCAAAATCAGAGACTATTTTGAGCAAGCATAAATAGATCTATCTAATGTGACTAGAAGAGATAATTTGACTTTGATTAAATCCGTTAGACATCACATCTAAGAATCAGTAGATACACCTTCAAGTATTGGTGCTGAGACAGCCTTCGTTTGTGACTTTAAGTCTCTTGCTGACACTTGTGTTTGTCTCCCTCACAGAAGTATCTACTAATGCACCTGGAAATCCTAAATTCAAGGTCTAATACATGTGGTGAGGGTGGGATTGGGATTAATGAAAGCCCAACTTTTGAGTATAACTTTCAGTGTTTCTCAGCTTTCCAAGGGAGCTCTAACCTTGCTGAAAATCTCTCTGGACTTCCACATGCCCTGTGTGGTTGTGTTGCTGGGAGGGGAAAAACAACACACCAGCAAGATACTTGGCATTTTTGTTACACAGTGCTTCTGCCTCACAAATTTGCAACACTGCTGCTGTACTGAAAAACATTTTGTAAGCACTCTACTGATGCCTTACAGACAACTGGTGGCTGAGGATCGTGGTCTGCTCAGTGCTGCACCAGAGCAGGCAGTGAGGTGTTTTCCCCTGTTATATCTTACAATAAAACTTTGTAATTTCAAATTTCTGATATGGTATCTTCTCGGTTCTCACACATTAGAAAAATTCTCAAGTAAAAAGCTATTAACATGCATATATATATATATATATATGCAATATATGAAAAGCCTCATACTCCCTCAGAAAAAATGCATTTTGTTAGAGCTATAGCACTGCTTTCGTTTCCTCCTCGTGGTGGTCTCCAAATCACACGTGATGTCAGTCTGTACTAGGATTTTGTTCTTACAGTTTAACTAGAGATAGAAAATATGTTTCCAGATACAGGACTGTGTAGTTCTACAGTCTCTGTAGCACTATTTTATTCAACAGTAATTTCAGCTTAGGGTGAGTAAGGCTGAAGGTTCAGAGCCAGCAAAGGAATTACAAAAAATGGAAATCAAAATTTCCAGCCAAATAAACACCACCTTATAGTAGGCACTTAACAATTTGCTTTAAATACTTACCTCCATATCAGAAAAAAGCAAGCCAGAGGTTATTTTAAGATGCAATTTAAGTGATTTACAATTGGCCACGTGTACAAATTAAATACCTTTCCAAGAAAAGAGGAGTAGATATATGAAATTAACATATGTTCACAAATGCACAGCTAACTATTCAATAAATTTATGTGAAATTCAATACATGTGGAATTCAGTATGGGTCTCTGTTGTGATTAATTAATAGATAACAAAGCTTATAGAGAGTCTATGATGTGTTAGCATATTGAATTCCCATCTTCTCCATGGGATTCCTGAAGGACATATTATCATCAAGTTCACTGTCAGCCCTCTGCTTGAGCAACTGAGACTACAACTGTATTTTTCTGTCTGGGTAGCTTTTGTTTGAGAGGTAGCTCTAATCATTCTACTGCTTCAGCATAAGGAAAATACCTTGAGAACATCAAGTATTTGTACAGAATCAGGGTAATCCTCTATTCTTAGCAAGTAGTTTTGGTGAAGATGCTCACAACAGGCATTAGAGTCATATACTTCCAGAGAGCAATTCATCCCATTTTAAGACAGCTGTCTAAAATAAGTGGGAAGAAATGGTCTCTGGAGGTGCTTCTTCCTTCCCTTGGATTTGAAATTCTAGAGAGCTAGCTTAGTCTGGATAACTAATTTTTAGACAGATAAAAATCAGGTCAGGTGACACCTATCCTAGTTCTCTCCCTAATGCCATTCTAGATCTACTCATCCCGGGCAAGGAACTAAAAAGCCTGTCAGCCAACAGCTCCCAGCCTAAGGTCAGGACCCCCTTACAACTCACAGCATATTCAAATGGATAAACAGTGTTCTTATGGAAAACAGAAAAAGTTCTCAGTTAAAAATGCAAAGTGCAATTATTGGTCCCAGTCCAAATGTTGTATGTCATGAGGAGTTACCTACCAAGAACACAGAAGGCACTTCTGGCCTCGCTGTAAATGCCATACATTATTTTGAAAACACTAAAGACTAAGTAGCTCTTTCCCAGTTGTGAACAATCACATTTAATTCATGAAAAGCTGGACATGTGAACTACATCTCCACAGAACTGAGCACGGCAGCAGTCATGGATTGCACATCCCATGGGACATAGCACGACAACCCAGATAAGAATGGCATGACTCAGAGTAGGTTCACTGTCACTTCCCCCATCAGTTTGGAGCCAGACCACAACCCAAGCAATGTTTAAACCCACTTTTTTTTCTCAGTAGTATCTCCTGAGATCTGCTGCTCTGGCAGTGCACAGCTGTGATAGTTGAACAGCCATGATAGCTGAACAGCTCCCAGTCAAATGGAGGCTTAAGGGGAGAATTTCCTGTGAGGGTAACATAGAATTTTCTTCTCAGGATTGTGCCCTGATCTGGGTGCACTCTCCAAGAGCTTCACTTTTAAACAGACCAGCAAAATTGAGTGTAGAAACCTCACAAGACGGGCTCTTTCACAATATTTTTCTCTCCTTTCACCTGTTCCTAGGGGTCACAGCACCTGCATAAATTAAAAAAAACCACAAACCTTCTCAAGATATTTTGGGAACCTACTCTCTCAAAAGAAAGAGAAGAAGGATGCAAAATAAAGAAATATATAATAATTTAACTGATCCTCCTTTAATAAAAAATGTATTTATTTTGGCAGTGGTTATACCAGACTAAGGTCAATCATGGGGAACCACAAAGTCTCATTGGCCAGTGAAGAGATTAATAAGTAAGACCTTGATCTACTCAAACCAGGTAGGGAAGCATCCATCTGCATTTACCAAAGAAATTAAGGTGATGATTACCTCTGTATAAGCAGAAACAAAGACAGGTACAAAATTTTCTGCTCATTTTGAGTCTGAATTCAAATGTAGTTTGACTTTCCAGTAAGATTTCCTTTCCT